AGAAATTTTAAGTAAAGGACCCAGAAACATTGACCAGTGCTTACCTCACTCCACCAAAGGACGACGCTCAATGGTGGCCGCCTGCTGGATCAGCGTGGATGCGCTTCGCCACTGCCCTGGCCGCGCGGACTTCCGGATCTGAGCTCGCCGGATCCACATGAGCCGCGGGCGGTGATGGCTGCTGCGACCGCTGCACCGGGAAGCTGGAGCTGCCTAGCCATTTGTCCACCTCTGAGGGTCCAACGCCCTCCTGGCCGGTGCCGCCTTGGCTCAATCGCTCGCCGCCGACGACATTTGGCTGCGCCGGCGCCATCGCCCACCTAGGTCACTGCGGGGGAGAGGAGGGGGAGTGAGAGAACCAGACACCCGACCGCCTACGTTGGTTCCGACCGGACCGCATTGGCTAACGGCCGTCAACTGCCGCGCCGTGAGCGCGCATGGCCACGTGGGCTGACCGATGGGCCCAGGCGGTCAGAAAACGGTTAAATCGCTAGTCACCGCGGGTTTGGATTTTTTGAAACAGCGGACCGCGCGTTTGGTAGCTTTCTGAGAAAATTTAAAAAGTGGTAGTTTTTTGAAACCCTAACCTGTAAACTAGTAGTTTTATGCTATTTACTCTTCTTTTCTATATGTTCAAATACGTTCAAATACATTTTTGCTGCAATGCTTAATCGCGGGATGTTCTGGCATTTGCAACAACGACACTGCAGTGCGGATCAGCGAGGGAGATGGTAGTACTGTACCAAACTGCATGCCTGCCTGGCACTTTCACATAGCTGTCCTACCGTTTCGATCTACCACCTTAGGGCTTCTCCGACGTCTGTCATTAAAATGAACACCCGAAACGTTCACCGACACATCCCGTCGTGTTTGTGAACAGTGCTAGTGGAGTCAGTCATTCTTTTTTGTGGGGGTAAAGGAGATTTTCTTTACTCACGGGATCTCTCAGCCACAACCAAGTTTACAATGAAGTCTAACCCCAAATACAATCACACTGCAGTTTGGGGGTACTACGGCCATAAACGGCAAGTTCATGCTAACCTTATTCCGCGAACGACGACAGAAGAGTAAAAGAAATGTCTCTATTCTCAGTTGAGGCCAAGCTTTTAATCTCCTGGATCACAAAGCGATGTACTGATCTATCATCGGATTTTACTACGATCGTCGACACTGTCTCGGAACTATCTAGTTCCCTCGAAATTGGTAGCATTGTCCGGTGGAGGGCTAGCTCTAGCCCCTCCCTACACGCCGCGAGCTCGGCGCCCAGGGCGTTACTACATGTACGGAGTTCACGACAAGCGCTAAATATGATGTTTCCCTGAGTGTCCCGGAGCATCATCCCACCTCCTGCCATACCTGTAGCTGGTATGAAGCTTCTGTCCGTGTTCACCTTGGTCCATCCTGTAGCAGGAGCGACCCAGCTCAGCTCCTCTTTAGCTAGGGCGCTGGTTGTATGTGCTGGTGGTGCAGCATTGATCACCATTTTCCCCTTCACAACATCTCGGGGTACTGCTTGAGGCACAACAAATAGTTGATATATCCATGTAGGAACCGCCGAGAGGACTCAGTTGGAGGTGGTCGCTTTTCATGCGTAATCTCATTCTGCACGTGCCAAGTCCTCCACATGATCATCACTACGATCATACGCGTCGTCTCATCCAAAGGCTTAAGGAGGGTGAACAACCATTCTGGCCCGGTGTTGCGAATGGATTCAACCTTCGGGATGACCCAATCCAGCAACATGGCATGCCGAAGTTCCTTCGCAAAGGGGCACCCGCACATCGCATGAAATCCATCCTCTCGTTCCACACCACAAATGAGGCATATGTCAGAAAGCTCAAGATGACGTGATAATTTATTTGCCCAAATAGCTAAAGAGTTGGTCATAATCCGCCAGGCAAACACGCGTTCCTTCGGGGGAGCAGGGCACCCGGTCTTTCAGATAGCGCGATGACCATCCGGTGCCCTGCTCATGGCGGTGGTCAATGGACGCTCGCGCTCGTCCATGGCAAACCGATAGACGGAACGAACAGTGAAGATACCGTTCTTCTCCGACGCCCAGATGATGATGTCGTCAGTGCAGCGCGGCGAGGTGCGGATGCATGGAGTCAGACATTCCATATAAAATAAATATCGGCCTCACGTCTGACCTGGCCTCCTCCATTTCACATACATACTTAGCAGTCAGAGGCGCGGCGACACGTCACGCCCGTCGAGAAGCCTGTGCAGGCATCTAACTTGTATTTTTTTTTTCAAAAAAGAGAAAAAGACGTCAGTCACTTTGAGGGGCTAGCTCGTCGTATGGGAGTTCTAGTTTGCTTGCTAACATTAAATATGGCAATAAATAACAATCAAATGGAAGAAATGAATTAATACCTTTGTATATCTAGCTGACAACATCACTTTTTTCAGTACAAGTACTCCTTTGTATACATGCATACTAGTATTCCTTTGTATTGTGTTGACAATATCATATATGAAATATCTTGTCAACTCTTGTCAGCACATTTTTCAGTACAAGTACATACGACGCATGCATGACACAAACATACTCTCCCCCCCTCTTGGCTCCCATAACAAAGGTAGCATTTAAGTTTCATTTGACATTTTCAACCGTTTATATCTCTTAAACCAAAATTACGTAAGTGAAATGTTTTATATATTTGATCTCTGGGTGTCAAGATCTTTAGAACAAGATTAAATACATTTTAAATATGTTTAGTTTCAACATTTCAATTAACTTATTTCACTCAATATATTTTTGCGTGAAACTGCTTATTTCATTGTTTGAAATTTATATTTGTGAAATACAACCGTTATTTGAGTGTTTGAAAATGATAGGCGTGAAATCTATATTTGTGAAGTTTTGAAACTAGTTATTTCAAATATGTGAAAGTGATTATTTCAAAACTTTTGAGCGAAACATGTTTAATGAAGCGAATCAAATTGTTTTTGGAACTAATTGAAACATGTCTTTCAAATAATTAAAACCAGTAAATTAAAATAACTTAAATCAAGTTTTTTTGGCAAAAGGTGTTAAATCGGTTTCTTAAGGATTGAAATAAGTTTTTTGAAATGAGTAAAATTATATTCTGAAATGAGCGAAGTGAGTTTTATGCAACAATTTAGGTCCATTTTTTTAATATGCGAAACTTGTTATTTTGGATATATAGAATGGATTGTTTCATGTGTGAAACTGATTATTTCAAATATATGAAATATCTTATCAAAGCGAAAAAATATGTTTTATGAAAGTCATCTCAAAGACAACTGAAATATATAAAATTAGAAGTACTTCAAATATAACAGTTTTTTAATATATGAAACTGGTATTTTTCAAATATATGAAACATGTTTCAGTCTGTTTGACACTTTTCTTATTCCAGTTTGTGAAAATATGTGAAATGGTTACTTCAAAAAAATTGAAATTGATTATCTGAAATATGTGAAACTGATATTTTTCAAATATATGAAACATATTTCAGTCTGTTTGTCAATTTGCTTATTCCGGTGTGTGAAAAATATGTGAAATAGGTTGTTTAAAATACGGGAAATTGACTATTTCAAACACGTTTAAATTATAGCTTTGCTGTCCACGTACTTTACTCAATATTTTAGCATGTCTGTCAATTTGCTTATTCGACGGCGTCAAAAATATGTTAACTTGGTTATTTGAAATATGAGAATTTGGTTGTGTTCATTGTGCGTAATTTGTTTATAAAAATATATTAAATTCTATTTTACTAATATATCGAATATATCCGTGTCTTTGTGAGTTCCATATTCCACTTTGTGAAAATAAGGGAAACGCTAGAAAGAACTTTATGAAATAGTAAAACAATGTAATGTTTTATGAAAGAGATTTCAAAGATAATTGAAACATATAATAAAATATATTTCAAACATATACAAAATTGATCTTGTTCTGAAGGTGTTGTCACCATGAATTCAAATATACAAAAAGTTTCAATAATGGATATTTGGTTTAAAAGATATGAATCATTAAAAATGTGAGGATAAAAATAAAATGCGTGTCATATGTATGGCGTGAGAGAATGCATGCACGGTGCTCTCCACTCTAACTCTCTCTCTCTCTCTCTCTTCTGTAAAAGCTGACAATATCTGACACTAGTACATGTATTGCTATATGTAATCTATATCTGAAAATAGAGTATAAAATCTGCATGGATCTTGAGGAGATTGATGAATGGAGGATTGCCCACAGGTACATACCGGCACTAGTAAAATTACTTATTCGGAAAATCATGCCCAACAATGCCGCTCGACTACTTTCCCTTAGTTCGGTTGCTAGTCGAGGTTACACCTCTCTAAACTAATATAAGACGTCTTATATTGGTTTATAGAGGGAGTAATTAACAAGATGTAGATTAGAGTTTTAAAAATAAATTATAACCAGAGAAAACATAACATCTTTTATGAAGAAGAAACGTTTTCCTCTTGAAAAGGAACGATTTAAAGAGTGAAACTAAACAGAACATTTCGTACGAAGAAGGAGCAATATTTTCGTTAAGACGGACAGTTTTTAATGGAAAAAAAGGAACAGTATACATTGAGGGTATCATTTCTCATTGCAGATGAAAGAAACCACCTTCAGAGTGAGTAAGTCATCATCCTAAAAATAAGCAAAGCTATTCCATCGTGCTAATAGTAATAGGTCGTCGATATGATTCGGCCAAGCAGGTCTCGTACATAGTTCCAAAAAAGTAGTAGTACGATTCATGCTTTTCTAAAAGAAGGATGACTTGTTTAGATCAGATGTGGATCGCACTACATTGTTAGCTTTACCCAATGTTGTTGTCGTTTGTGATGATCCATTGCGAGAAGAAAATCTGGAATATAACAAAAGATTATCATCACGATGGAGTTGATCGATGATCCGCGCAAATTGTCTTTGCAAATCATACATTGCCTTTGGAAGCCAAGCAAGATAGAGTACGCGCGCTGGTAGAGCACAAATTACATTGAAAACGTCGGCTTAATCAGCCGCCGAAAAGGGCGGCGACCGGCGCAGCGACCGCCGAGGCGATGGTGGGCGTGGAGAAGACAGCAGTGGCCACGGGGCCGCCAGCGGAGCGGGAGATCTGGAAGAACAGGCGCGGGGCCGTCTCGAACGCAACACGTGACATCAGCCCGCCGGCAACGCCCGGGGCGGCCATGGTAACGTGGCCGCAGCACGGCCCGACCAGCATGGCAACGCCATACAACCAGCCCCAGCAGGAGGAGAGGACCTGGACGAGCGCCTTCGCCACCTGCACGGCGGCGGTGCACAGGATCTGCCAGCAGTACCAGGCCACGGCCGCAACGCAAACGACCGCGGCGATGGCCAGCACGTAAGGGAGCGCGACGACGGCGGCGTCCTTGAGCCACCGCCAGAACGCCTCCAAGGCCGGGACGAGCTCGTGGGCCTTGCTCGCGGCCGTGTCGACGAAGCGCTGGACGAGCGGCCAGAAGCCGTCCAGATCGAGGCTGATGCCGGCGATGGAGTTGTGCACCCACCGCCAGAAAGACTCTAATGGGAGGACGAGGCTGTGGGCAGCGCTGGCCAGCGCGGCGGGAACGCCGGCGAAGATGCCCTGCATGTGCTCCCAGAAGACGTCGAAGCCGGAACTGACGCCCGCGGCGGCGGCCTGCAGCCACTGCCAGACCGCTTCAAACGGCACCGCCAGTGCGTGGGCCGCGCTCCCGAGCGCCGCGACGAGGCTGTCGAAGCAGCCGTGTATGAGCTGCCCCAGACCGTGGAAGCCGAAACTGATGCTCGCGGGTGCGGCCTGGATCCACTGCCAGAGCGTTTCGAACGGCACCGCCAGAGCGTGGGCCGCGCTCCCGAGCGCGGCGACGAGGTTGTCGAAGCAGAAGCTCACGCCAGCGACGGCGGACTGCAGCAGGTGCCAGAGCGCCTCGAACGGCACCACCAGAGCGTGGGCCGCGCTCCCAAGCGCGGCGACGAGGCTGTCGAAGCAGAAGCTCACGCCGGCGGCGGCGGACTGCAGCAAGTGCCATAGCGCCTCGAACGGCAGGACGACCAGGTGGGCCACGGCGGCGACGGCCGCCTGCAGCCAGTGCCCGAGCACCTCGAACGGCAGGACGAGCAGGTGAGCCACGCTCGCGAACAGGCCGGCGATGAGCTGCCACAAGCCGTCGAGGCCGAAGCTCATGCCGACGGCGTCGGCGGCGATTCCTCGAGCAACACCGCCGCCTGCGCCGCGCAGGAGCCTCCGTGCTCCTGCGTCAGCGAAGGCCATTGCTTGCTCTCACGCAACCTTCCCTCCTTTTCCCGAGAACAAGATTCCTTTTGTCCGAGCGGAGTGGAGTGGGCGACTGACCGCTGCTGCAGTGAGGAATCTTCTCTTCTCTTGACTGGGGCTAGGTCTCCTTAATAATTAATTAAATTGATTTCTCTTTTTTTGAGACCGTATATATCCCATTGGGCGGTCAGGGTGGCTTCGTCGAATCGTCGTGGATGGTTCCCAAAGCATCTGCTTTTTTCATGAAATGAAAAGAAAAGAAATACCCATTGGGCAGTCAGCTTCGTCCTGGCTCGTGACTTGCCAATTCTCTGCAGTACAGTCACGTGGATGGTTTCCAAAGCGTTAGCCAGATGCTCGTCTTCGAACAATTTAGCGATGTGGGGTACTTCCGCCGTCTAGATTACTCTACGCTTTATGTAATTTTGACTATAAATTTGATTACTAGAAAAATGCAAGTATTTTTTAGTTACAAAAACTGTAGTGTTGAATTCGTATTCGGAAAAAGGTTTAATGTTATTACTTTTGTACTCCCTCCGTTCACAAATATAAGATGTTTTGCATATTTCAAAATGTGTTACATATAGACCGAAATGAGTGAATACACCCTATTCCTAAGAAAGTTAGAACATCTTATATTTATGAACCGAGGGAGTAGTATATAACTTATAGTTTGCTACTTAAATAAAATGTCAAAATTTGATTCAAAAAATGAGTAGACTAATAAATCCGGACTGACGACGTAGAAACATAAACTTCAACAAACATAATACTCCGGGGCATGTATTTTACAGACCGAAAGCTAGCTTTGTTGCCGGGTTACCATTGAGATCGGGCTACCAATTTTTTGGTAATGTTTATAATCTGACATTAGATTTGTAGTTTAAAAATATGACATCATTTTTATATGCAAACTCGCATTGATATAATTAGCAATTTTTCTATTAATTTAATTCAGATTAATATAATGCCAACAATGCTAACACTACTAATCTCATACTAATTCGCAAAAAAATATTAATCTCGTACAAAAACTAATCATATGAGTGCATAATAGGGGTATTACGTGGGTAGATTATAATCAGCAATGGGAATGTACAATGATAGATTATAATGTGGTGTTACATGGGTTAACAAATACTAGCTAACAAATTATTCATACATTGTCAATCAAGGACATCATGCCTTCTTCGAGGCTAGGCTTAGCCTAAGCATGACCATATTAAAATTATTTCCAAAGCCAAGCCTGCAAGCGAAAGAGATTAAGGGTTGACACACCAGTGAGGAAGGGCCGCCACAACAACTGGCAGATGATGGTTGTCGTCAATCTTATTTAGAAATAAGGTCGAAGATATGAACATTATGTAACCTGACGATGTGTTATTGTGTTTGTTAAGATGGACATGATGCATTGATATCAGTTTGTTAAGTGCAAATAAATATGGAGCTTTGCCGTTTATTCCTAAAATGGATAAAGCCTTGTTTAGTTATTGCTATGAATTTTATAATTATATTTACTCTTTATAAATCATGTGTACAAACTATGGCACAGTAAATTCACGGGAACAAAAATATGTTCTTGCGATGACGATTATATCAGTGCCGGGCACTACTCTCGGCCCGCCACTGGCTAACTAGTTACGAGTGGCAAGCACACGCCCGCCATTGATGTTATGTTAGCAGTGGCAAGAGGTCACTGGCGGACGCTCCTAAGAGTCTCGCCCGACACCGATGACCTTTTTCCACCCGTCACCGGCAGGCATTCCTACAGTAGTGGTGGTTTAAGTAAAAAGTTTAGATGGGAAGCTTTTGCCACCCAGACAACTACAAAATAGGGTTATGTTATCCCTTAAAAAATAGTGTTGAGTTAGTGTCAGCCGACTGATTCCACGTAGGCTCGTATGGTGCAAGATACACAACCGTTTGATCCAGCGAGGTACACGACCATTGGATCCCTAGTCATCATCTCTCACACACGGCTTCTCTTATAGCACACAACAACCACTGCATGTTGTGCTGCAGCACTGCATGCAATGACTTCCCTTTGCAACATGGGTGAAGCGTTGGTGGACACCCCTTGCAGCACCAGCACCAGACCCACTACACCTCTGACGCAGACCCTCGCACCACCTTTATAGAGTCGCCCTGGTCTTTGTATCAGTCACATCATGCGGCAACCCAACATCATCGATGTTTTATCATGCATGTTGCAACACTGATGTGATCCGCGGTTGCAGCAGCAATCTGTCACCGTTGGTAGCGGATCCGCTACCTTACAACACCCACTCCGCAACAGACATAGACAATCCCTTGGCCTTGCAGCCGTGGTTGCCCTGACAACGGTCCCCGCAAGCCCATAACACATACCGTCCAACACCTCCACACCCATAGCTCGCCACTCCGTCTTGTAGCAATTGCCACCAGTCTTCATAGCATCTGCCGCCTGGTGACCACTGGCAGAGCTATGGCAAGACTCAAAGGGTCGTGGCCCATCCAAGGCTGGAGCAAAATAAAGTTTTACATGAAGTTTTTCCCACAATAATGTATCGATTTTTAGTTTTGTAGTACTGTTTTTACTATCCAGCCCGTCCAACATTTTTTTGATAGCTCTGCCATTGCTGGTGACGTCTATGCTCACAACTCCCCCACTTGCAGCAGTGGCCATTGGGACTTTGCAACAGTGGCCATGTGACCATGGGCAACACTTCACATCGTCAGGTTCTTTTGGGAGTCGCTTGAAGGCCACCGAGTTGGGCGTGTCGCTAGATGAAGGCACATCCCTGGTTTGTGTTGCAAAAGTTGGAGGGAGCCCACCAACCATGCAAGATGCGGGATGTACATGAAGAGGATAGGTAGGAAAGGAAGGGTGCTTAGGGAAGAAATCATGTGGTAGCTAGTGACTATTCGGCCGGAGAGAAGGACGAAGGGGAAGAGCGATCCCATGGGGCACGTGTCACATGAGCATTCGCCGCGAGCGCGAGAATCAATCGGAAGATTATAACTAAAATTTGTTGTCGCTTTGTACTCCCTCCGTCTTAAAATAAATGTCTCAATTTTGTAATAGCTTTAGTACAAACTTGTATTAAAGTTAAGATACTTATTTTGAGATGGAGGAAGTATATATGAAAACACAAACATAAATGAAATACTAGTACAAACTATTTAAATCAAGCTACTCCACGATTGATGGCTTTGCAAAACGGAAACCGAAATCACTATGCAGACGACAATGCGCTGGACAATTCTCAGACGACCTGATGATCGATGGCTGCGGCCCACGTGAACTCAACTGATCGATGGCTGCTATAGCTTGTCGTCCACAGATCGGCCACAATCCATCGTGTGTGTAGCAGTCCTCAACGGAAACGAATGTATATCGGTGATGTGATGTACCTCCACGTACTATGATACTCTCTTCATTTTTTCTTTCGCCGTAGTTAGTCTCATTGATTAAATTTATGATTAAAGTTAGACTTCGGAAAGAACGGACGCACTATATTTTGAAATAGAGGGAGTATTATAATCTAATGATGACTGCGGCTCTCTGTCGATCTACTTCCATGGTGAGATGAATGGTTACAGGAACAGCTTGAACTTTCAAACTCATAATTGTGCCTCTGGTCGAGAATCATGGTGAGCGCGAGGACGAACGCCTGGTCGACGTCCGGGATGATATTGACATGGTACGTGTACTCTCCTTTCATGACGCTCGAGATGCTCCTCGCCTCCTTGCCGATCCGCGCAACATCTTTCCGGCCGCCGCCCCGGGAGATGGTCATCGTTCCTTTGTGGTAGCTGCCGTGGACGATGTAGGCCCAGTTTTTTTGGCTCAATTCTAAAGAATTACTGCCCAAAGAATCACAATCGCAAAAGAACTTGTTTCTTCTCTAGGAATCATTCGAGAATTATAAGAATCGCTAGTGTATTTGAGAATCGTGGAAACTCGGCAATCCTGGCAATTCTAGCCGGGCCCTCAAAAGAAAAACTGTTCGGTTTGAACTACTACTCCTATTGGGGACTCAAATTACAACCAATATGCCACTAGGCCAGCCCGATCGAGCGACCTTATACAACAATTATAGGTTAGAATTACAGAAAAAAACTGAACGGACAATTCTATAGGCAGACGATTCTGTGGGCAGTTTCCAGAATCGTAATTCTTCAGAATTATAGAGAAAAAGAACTGACCCGCAGTCTGGGTCGTCGCAGGAGTTGCCCTCGACGAACACGTGGACAAGGATCCCCATCTCCCAAACCTGCGCCTTGTCGACCGCGACGAAGAGCCGCTTGCTCCGGCTCACAACCCCGCCCCTGCTCGCCTGCCACCGGCGCCGGCTTGTGCCGACCTCCTCGACCGTGAGGATGGGGCGGCGCGAGTCGGCGTCGAGCAGGGCGAGGGCGCGTAGGTTGCGGTACCCCAGCTCGACGGTCTCCACCTCCATCACGGCCTCGCCCATGGAGGAGTTCCTGACGTCCAACACGGCGCCCCTCCATGTGTACGATTTGGTAGCCGTGAACGACGTCGGGTGCTACGCGTGGAATTTCCCGCCCACCATCGCCGACGTCTCCGACGGCCACGGCATCTCCCGCTAGCTGCTCGTGACTGTACAGAGGATGGAACGATGCACTCAGGACGGAGATGGTAGCTAGACGGATCGAGGAAGATGGTAGTTTGGGTGCAGAACCGGATGAGCTATGGTATGCATAATTGTATATACACCGTCGTCAAGAATACTTGTTGTACAAGAAACTTTTTGGGAGGTTGTCGTCAAGAATTGAGGTGTTTGGTTCTTGTCAAATTCGTGCGTAGGTAATCTGATTATTAAAGCATCTCAGGCGTTTTTTTAATGCCGACAGGCGAAAATCGGCTCAGTCGCGTCTCATGAGTCCATTTTTCGTCAGGTTGGACCGAAATAACAGCAGGCAGTTCCAGGCCGAACCCGGCGCACTGTTCTGTCGGCGAGTTGAGAGCCTTTTTCCGTCGTTTCTTCCCGCTTTCCCTCCCGCCTTCCCTCTCATTCGCTTCATTCCTCCCGCCAATCTTCCTCCTCCTCCCCTCTCAGCCGGCCGCCACGCCGCCGAAGAAATACGTGATCCCCAGCGCCGCTGCTGCTTCGACCGTCGCCGTCGCCCAGCCGAAGCAGAGGAAGCCTAGGGCGCCACCGTCCAAGCCACCGAGCGTCTGGGCATGTCCAACGCCGACTGGAGGGCGGAAGTTCAACGTCGGGAGGCTGTCACCACCGACCGGCGGAACAGGGCGAACGCCAAAAAGGCCCGGGACAGCGCGGCGCTCGCGGCTGCGGCTGCGGTGGATCAAGCGGAGCGCTCGGCCGAACAAGCCGTGGCGGCCCAGTGGGGATGATGAATCCACCCTGCGGCCACGCCTAGTACACGCCCTGGAGCCAGTAAAGTGTCGGCTCACCGGCCGGCTTCTCGTCGTCCCTGCAACCCTGGGGATGCATGCCTTCGCCGGGCTACGCCTACGGGGACGCGCACGGTGGGTTCAACCCCAACATCACCTTCCTCCATGGTCACCCGGCCCAGCACACACCCTTGCCCGCCTTCGCCGACGTGCAGTACCCTCCATACAACTACTCATCGCCGGCCTACGCATCCTCCCCGACGCCCCCTCTCCGCCGTGGCGCGCTGCCCTTCTCACACGCGTCGACGTCGCACCTCGGCGACACCGACGCGATCGAAGCCGACATGGACGGCATCATCACGGCAGGCTCGGCCGCCACCACGTCCCCCAAGTTCGCTACCCAGGATGAGACGGTGGACCTCGATGACGACATGGACGGCGAGCTCGAGTACGGCGAGGAGGAGCCGTACAAGCAGGAGGAGTAGGACGGGGAGGAGGAGGAGGAGGCGGCGCCGGTTCCGGCAAGGAGACGCAAGAATGAGAAGGGGAAGGCCAGGACCGGCGAGCCGCGCATCAAGTGGGCGTCCAAGGAGCAGGAGTGTCTCGCCGAAGCATGGAAAGTCGTCTGCCTCGACCCGATCACCAGCACAAACCAGAGCATCGATACGTATTGGGAGCGCATCAAGGTCAAGTTCGACGAGCGCAAGCACCCCTACTTCAAGGGCGTCCACATGCAGCACGGGTTGAAGGCAATGGCGAACCATTGCGGGCTCATCCAGACGGCATGCAACAAATGGCATGGGATCGTCGAGGAGATCGCGGCTCGCCCAGAGAGTGGAGCTGGCATTGAGGATCAGGTATGGCACGCCGGTCTTCCTCTCCTTTTCGCCATGCGCGCTCGCCAACTGTTTGTTCCTCGGCGCAGCTGTTGCGAATGTTTGCCATGTACCGCCAGGACAACAGCAACCAAGAATTCAAGTACCTCCACGTCTTCAAGCGAATTGAGAAGTGCAAGAAGTGGGCGGATGTCCGGCACACCCTCGCCAAGGCTAAGGAGACCTACAAGCCGGACGCGCCGACGCCGGGCGCCCCGAAGGCAACAAAGGGGCCAAGAAGGGGAAACACGCCGACTCGGCTACCGCGCGCATGCAGGAGTCCATCGAGCATTGCCTCGCCGACGCGCAGGCCGAGGCCGCCTTGCGTGAAGAGAAGACCGAGGCGCGGTGGTCGGCGCTGATAGCGAGCAGCGCTGTCAAGCTCGACCTACTCCGGACCAACGTTGCCACGAAGAAGAGGAACGCCGACATGGCTTTCCTGCTGGGCGGGGCAGACATGCTCCAGAGCAACGACGAGCAGGTCAAGGCGTGGTACATGGCAGAGCGCGGCCTCATCTTGAACCAGCTGCCGTCGACGGCGCCGCCAACTCCCACGCCCACGCCGACGGCGCCGCCAACTCCCACGCCCACGCTGCCGCCGCCGCCAAACCCGAGCGATGATGCCTCCACGACGCCTAGCAGCACAGATGTCGCGCCGACGCCGCCAAGCACAAAAGAAGCTCCGACATCGCCAAGCCCGCGCACGCCGACTCCACCAACGCCGGAGGCCGACCCTGCAGTGTGATGCGTTGGACGCGCGTCCTTTCTTTTTTGTACGCCGAACTTTTTCATGCCGAACTGGGCCGCTGTGATCGCCGGACTTGTGACGTTATTTTGTGAGCGGGAATGACTACGTTTGAATTTTCCCGGACTTGAGGGGCGGCGCCGGGGGGTGTGGCTGGGAGCTAGGTCACCCCCAGAGACCAATCTAGCACCGGTTCTCCCCCAGGCCGCTCTTTTTCGACGCTTTAGGGGCCGAACGGCTGGAGATGCTGTGAAAACTGCTACCAGTTTATTTGCCTCATCGCAACATAGAAAGAAAAAGACGTATGTTTGGCGAGAAGTGCATCGCTGCACGCAGCGCATCGACGGCCCGCCGTGCGTCGCGATTCGAAGTAGCCTCCCGTGCTAGTTGGAGTATAGAGGAGGGTTGGAGAGTGATATATGTAGTGTATATCTGTATTCGAAGGACCACACCTGACACAGGAGCTGACGCGCCGCTGCATGGAACACTGCATGCGCGCAGGCGAGAGGACGGAATACGACTGTTGCATGGAGCACTGTCGTAAACTCTTTACATCATGGATGTAATTAAAGACCATGCAACCGAGGACAGTATTGATCGCTGGCAACTACTAGTACGCTTGTGCATCTCGCTGCCCCAGAGCTTCTCGTGTGCTCGTCGTCTCCAGGCAACTCCACCACCGTTGCCATTGATCTTGACATCTTGTGCCCAAGGTGCTCCGGGACCAGGACTAAGTGGTTTGTGTCCGGGACAGATCGAAACCTGGCGCTGAGCGAGAGGCAGAAGGACTGAACGGCGCTGAGCGAGACGAAGGCGGGCGCCGTGTCGCCGGGGCCTGCCGACGCCACATACCTGCTCTTCCAGCCATCTCGGATGGTGGTGTTTGCGGATGCTTGGGCACAGTGGGGTAAGGACTGCCGCGCGAGACGATGGGCGGCGCTGCGCCATGGGCTCGTCCGGACGGCACATCACCGCCGCCA